ATATGTTGCAATGTGTAAGTTTGACCCAAGTAAGTTGCAATGTGTAGTTTGACCCAAAGCCCATTGACTTCAGTAGACTTAGGTATAGTTCTGTTCGAAAGCAAGAAATTGCAAGTAGATAAATAGGTACCACACTTCGGTGGGAAGGTAACAGCGTTCCGTGCACCTTGGTGTTTAGTCATGCCGGCCACATGACCACGGAAACGTCTTCGGACAGCGCTGGCTCTTTGGCTTTGAAACGGAGATGAGCACCGCAACCCTAGAGTCGGATTCGACTGGCTTTCGAGCAAGGGAACCTTTACCTTTTTACAAGGCCTCTTAAGTGCATGTTAATACTTGGCTAGAGGCCTGATCAGAATCATCCAGAACACCTGGCTCTCTACACATGTGCACAAGCAATGGGCCTTAGAGCTCAGCAATCCACCAGAGGTCCTAACTCATAGGTTGAAGATTGCTGGCTTAGAGGATAGTTGAGGTGAAGACAACACAGCCTTCAGATACCAATACACTGATGTGTGGATTATCCATGTTCTTTTCGGAGCTACATTGCGAAGTCAGAAAAGCAGTTCTTCACAAGGCTGTTAATCCTTAGTGACACAGAGAGTGCCTGAGCTGGTAGAACAGCTGTAATGTCTATGAATAGCCCAATTCCTCTTTGTTTAGAAATCTCCTGTCATCCCATTGAGATCTGTGGTATGATGCAATTAATGGAATTGTTTGTGTGCCCCAAGAACATTTCATCACGTTATATATACTAAGCCAGAACGTGTCTGAGAACAACCAATAACAAAAGAATAACTATATGATAAAAGCCATGAAACAAAATAAAGGCTGAAAAATGGAAACAAAGATCAAGATTTGTTGTTTTAGCGTACTGTGTTCTGCCCTCATTCGTCATCCATCTTATGCATGCTGGAGAAAAGGCATCTTTCAGTGCACATGCGAGTGTTGTTAATTTAGGACAGAAAGCTGAAGAGAGCCACTAAATTCTGGCCAATGTGAATTTTACACTTACATTTAAGACACAGAAAACCAAAAGCATTGTAGTATAATGTGTGAATGCCCTGATACAAAACAGCCACTCACCTAGTAACTTGCACACTTTACCACAAGGTAAAGACAGTGAATATATGCCTCCAGTGGTATTAACTATTATATTTCCTAGTGAAATAGATCATACTCTTCCCATTGGACTCACAGAAGGTATTTAACTCCATTGGTTTTGAATGAGTTAATATGATCAGAGGTGTAAATTATCAGTTGTGGGAAGCTACAAATCTTTGAAAGTTTTAATCACACGTGCTCATCGAATAATTTCTTCACCTGGCATGGGTAAGCCTCATTTTAATCACAATGAACCGTGTGTACTTATACCTGTTAGCCCAGTTTTTCAGGCTTGCTGGGTGGAATGGTTTTGTGGTACCAGAATAGGGTAGTGAGACAACCAGACGTCTCAGTTGGTTTACCTGAACATACCAGTTTGACAATGACTGTTTTAAAATAGCTTGGCACTCTATCAAGTATGTTGCAGGAAAACATTACGTTTATTAATGCTTCAATGGAATTTCACTCTACACACTGCTCCTCCCTGTTCCGACTTGCTTTGCCTTGCCATTCCCCTCCCATTTGCAGGCATATATGTGCGTATACAGCTGCATCAATGTGTTGTCTGCTTCAAAGACATTCTATACAACATAAAGGAGCTTCCAGAAGAGCTTTCTTCTCTACCACCCTTTAGTCATGGCTGCAAAGGTTTCTCAGTGGCAGAGCTATCTTCAAGTGATTAAATCTCGTGAGGGCCAGAGAATGGAGTATTTCCAGAAAGCAGAGAACATTTTGCTCATTGTACTGGAAAGAGTCAATGCCATGGATCCTAGGTTCATAGTGGATTATTCAAGAAATCTGGAAGCCTTGGAATTTGCACTCTGTGCCACTGAGGATGAAGTAACTATGGAGGTTCCTTTGTGCATGGATGCTGATGCTCTCCTTGTACAGGAGTGTTCAGGTGAACAGAGTGACTCTGAGAAAGTTACTCATGGAAATTACCAGATGCCAGGCTCTTGCTATTTGGGGGTACCAAAGGAAGGAAATCAGCTAGAAAAGTGGACCAAAGAAGATGTGTTCAGTATGGTAGGCAGTACTGAATCCAGTGGACACATTGTACCAGGCAAGATCCTCCAACTCCTGAAAGACCTCATTGTGGCTGCCATTGTTTATTGCAAGCGTCAGTTCCTCATCAAGCCAGGTAATCTAAGAGGAAAATAGAAAAGCACTGTGTGTGTGTGTGTGTGTGTGAGAGAGAGAGAGAGAGAGAGAGAGAGAGAGAGAGAGAGAGAGAGAGAGAGAGAGAGAGAGACTCTGGAGGAAGAACTGGCAACTAATATACAAGAAGATATGATATAGAGTATCGCTCAGACCAATGTCTAGATGACCACTCCTTAAAAGGAGCTTTTATGTGGATGTTGTTTGACTGAGCTGCCTTGTGTGTGTATGTGCTGGAAAGATATTTTTTACAAACACAGCTGACATGAATTGTATAGGCTAAGGCAGGGTAGGGCTCTTAAAATAAACACATTGAGTGCATAATGGTAGTACTCATAAAAGGGAATAACCATAGGACTGGGTGGGGCTCTTTTCTGTGAAGTCAAAATATCCGCTAACTGCACCTTAGCTCTTATTCAGTAGGACTACAATAGTGCACTAACCTCTTTGGCTATAATAAATTGGTTCAGGTAGATAGTCTTCTTGCTGCTAATAATAATAATAATAATAATAATAATAATAATTATTATTATTATTATTGTGTGAGTACTAACACTGAAGCCGAGACAAACAAGAACTCTACAAGTATATTGTTATATTAACACTTTTATTAATAACATTTAGATTAACATGGATATTATCTCCATCTCTTGGGTTTTTAGTGTAGTGTGGTTATCTATCCTTTATTCTTAGATGTTAGCCCCCTCCCTTATATTTTCTTTGTAGTTTTGTAGTCTTATAAAAATAATAAAAATATCCCTCCAGGGATGCCAAAAAACCCCAAAACTAATAATAGTAATTATTATTATTATTGTTGTTGTTGTTAATGGGCATAGGCATGTATTACAGTGCTAGTGTGGTGAACTCTTTTATTTAAAAAATAAAGTATGGGTTGGTGAGTGCTTCTAACTTCACACAGTATCCCTCCCACATTTTAATTTTGTTAAGATTATGCAAACATTAGGTTGAAGACTTGTGTATCTCATCATTTACTGCATCATAAAAAACAACAACCCTCTCTGTGATATTAAAACAATCACATTTGTATCATATCCAAGACTGCATTGTATGGATGAAACGTATTTTGCCACTAACAAAATATTATACTTTGGAATACTGAGCAAATGTATATCACTACAACAGAAATGCAGCCCTGAGGGAAGATTTGAGGATTATGCAGATCAAATGAGCAACAAGTGCTGATTTATTGTGCAACCATAAATTGGTCATGTGCAAAGACAAGTTGTCAGCGAACTAATTCTGTTTATATAATGTGAAGAACAACACGAAAGGTGTGTGTGAGCAATATCAAACTAGAGGTATGGAAGCTATGTAATTTCACTGAAAAAATTCTGGAAGTCTTGAAGACTGCTGGATCTCACTCTGGATGGATACTCCAGTCAAATCACCTCTAAATGACTACCTGATTTATTGCTGGAAAAACTAAAGGCAATATGTTGTAATCCTGGCCACAGCATCCTTATATACCATACACCATGGTAGAGAGCTGATGTGCCGGATTGTTCTTGGCTAATTTCAATAATGAGAGAATGGAATGCTATTCAAAATGGTGACAAGCTGAAAGAGCAGAAAGTCACCATCAAGATATTGTAAAGTAATGTGGAACATGGAAGTGAAACCTGTGTCTATTTGGGGTTTTGCTTTCCCAATTTTGCTCTTGCATTTTTGTGTTCTCTTTGTAGCATCATTTTTGGTGATTCCTCTTTCTTCCTACTGCAAGGAAGGGTGTGGATTGTCCATAACTGGAACTGTATTGAGCAGTTCAGATTATACATAAAATGCTTTCCTGTGTTCCATTTCCCAGATTCTGTGTTACCCTGGCAATTGGTATAACATGTGTTGTAAAAACTGCCACATATTTCCATATATCAAACCACACTGCTAACTTTTGCAGCAGGTTCAACTCAATTCTTGTAGCAGAGAATGTGGCTAGTAGGGACTGAGGCTGCAAGAGCCACTTGTTGAAAACATGTATTTGGCAACTTGTTAACACAGCTTGTTCTTTGAAAAATGCAGACTTGGAACAGACCCTGAGGGAGGCAATTATATATTTACATGGGGCGTGTTGTCAGTTCCTTCTCTAAACTCCCAATTCTTCCCTTCCCACCTGCAAACTATCTTTCCCAATCATTTATGTATTATTTCCTCAAGCAGGGAGTGGTGTTATGTTCTGAATACTATCATATACTCCTTTTTTAAAAAGGTTCTACCATTCTTGCAAGGAACTCAGGGCAGTGTACATGGTTCTCTGTTCTTCATGACAGCCTTGTAAGACAGGTTAGGCTAAGAGACGGTGAGTAGGCCAAGGTTACTCTGTTAGCTTAATGGCAGGCTGGTTTTCATGCCATCAGACAGTGACACTTTCTTGTCTAAATTTTTCACGCAGGATCCTGTGGATGGGAAGGGGTATAATTAGGGTTCCAAGTTCTGGGCTGGGAAATACCTTGAGATTTTTGGGGTGGAGCCTGTGGAGGACAGGGTTTGGGGAGGGGAGGAACCTCAACATGATATAATACCATATAGTCCAACCTTCAAAGCAGCCATTTGTCTCCAATCTTGGCTGCCCTGAGATCAATTGTAATAGTGGGAGATATCCAGGTGGTACCTGGAGGTTGGCAACCCTGGGTATAATCCTCAAAAATTATGTCCCCCATTGGACAGGGAAGAATTACAGCCAGAAACGTGTTTCCCACTGAAATCAAAACCAAACAAATTAAATAACAATGAATTAACAAAGTTTGAGTAAAAATGGCACCTTTAGGACCAACAAAGTTTTATTCAAGGTATAAGCTTTTGTGTGCATGCACACTTCCTCAGAGACATTGGAATGGAAGTTACCAGTCCATACATAGAGGTAGAGGGTGAGCAGCAAATAAGCACACAGCATATTAAATTTGTATTTAAATATTTATTTCCTTCACTATGTTTCCCCCTGGAATTAAGCCCAAACAAATGGTGACCATATAAACTAAGCTTGTTATTCCAGTTTGGTCCTTGCATCTGTCAAACAACTTTAATATGCTGCATGCTAATTTGCTGCTCACCCTATATGTATGGGTCTGTTTCTGAAGAAGTGTGCATGCATGAAACTTTGTTAGTCTTAAAGGTGCCAATGGACTCGAACTTTGTTCTGCTGCTTCAGACCAACACAGCTACCCCACCTGAATCTATCTACAACAAATGAAGGTATTTGAACAAAACCTAATCACATTTTTAAAAAGAAAATGACATTAACTATTTAAAATTGTACACATTCATACAGCATAGAGATCCCCACAGTGTCCAATGGTGCAACTCTCAGCAGAGTTACATCCTTTTAAGCCCACTGAACTCCTTGTCCAAACAATGTATTGTTCCTTAGTGACCTTTTCTTTATCTCCTCTGCTTGGAAATAGACTATGCTGTTGTTCTGCTAGTCTTGACTGGTTGGTAAGCCTCTTTATACTTAGGGAAAGCTTTGCACAAGTTTGCTTTGAGCCAAAGGACCCTCCTCCAATTATATCTTTGCTGGTTTTCAGTGTACTCCTTGCTGATGCTACAGCCTCTATTGCCTCATTTCAATTCAGTCCTGATATCTAGGGCAAAAAAGGAAAGAATACCAGGAAATCATTTCAACAGTTGAATCATGGTTGATCCCTTGAGTCAGATTTTACAATGGAAAAGGGGAGTTTTGGGTATTGCATATCTCAGCACTGAATGATTTTGGCCAGGGGTCATTTCGTAGAAAAAGAGCTAGGGGAACTCATTAGCATAACTCATTAGCATATGTCACACCCCCTGACATCAGGGGCCCGGCGGTGGACCTGCAAGGCCAGCGGGAGTGCGAGGAAGCCCCGCCAAGGCCCTCCCTGGCCCCAGGCAGGCAGGGGTGGGGAGAGGCGGGGAGGAAGCAACTTACCCTCCCTCTTCTCCTGCCTCCTCCTGGCTGAATGAGGGCTGGAAGCGGGGCGGCCGGAAGCGGGGGGCGGGGCTTCATCATGTGCCCCGTCCCCCTGCACCTCACCCGGGGGAACTGCGTTCCCCCACATTCCCCCCCTAAATGACCTCTGGTTTTGGCTGTTATGTAGTAATAAAAGCAATACATTCTGACGTATCTGCTACAAGATTCTGGGGCTGTAGTTTGAGAAAGGACTACCAACAGGGTTTTCTGGGCTCACTACAAAATTTGTTCAGTTCCATTCCCTTCCTGTAGTGTATTCAAAGCTGCCTTGAATGCAGGACATGTTGTGAAACATCTAATTGAAGTGTAATGTAAAGCTTCATCCTGGGCTAGGATCCAAAGACATCCAATCGTATCGCTAGCCCAGGAAGTAACAAGCCATTCACTTCACAGCAAGTTCCCTGAGCGGGAACGTCCGTGATTGGTTCTTATATGAACAACCTCATTGGTTGGTATTTGTACAGTGGGTGTGGCTACATTAGCCGGGAATGTTTAAAAGCAGGACAGCTGCAATGTAAAGGCTGTTCTGGCTATCAGATGTTGATTCGTGTTGGAGTTGTGTTCGAGTTGAAGAATAAAGTTGTGTTCTTGCTGAATCACTCTCCGACCACTTTGTTAAGCAAGCGACTTAACACTTCCCGGCAAACACCTGACCCCATATACTGCTTTGAGGCCTTGGAAGAAGATGAATAGAATAAACAGGTAGCAAGCTGTGAAATGGCTGGTGCAGGAAAAGAACCAACAAGCATAGCCAACAAAAGGAACACTAAAAAACAAATCAAAGTCCAAACATGTCCCCAGCCTCTTTCCCCGTTGCTCCTGTCACACCTACCTCTTGGCAAAATTTATTGGGATAAAAGCTTGCATGAAGACACAAGGTTTGCCAGGTTAACATGTCCACACTGAGGGTCAAGCCAGAAATGATGATGAGTGATCTGTAACTGGATATTCCTGGGTTTTTAAAAAGGGAAATAGCAGCTGTGCTGGGCTCAGTTCAGGACAGGGCTGTAGTGTGAGAGGAGAGAGGGATTGGTCCTCCCCCATGCAGTTTTGTTAATTCAAACCAAATGCCCTGCCATGATCTGTTATCATGATTTGATCAACAAGACTGTAGGGAGGGGGAGATCTACATCCGCTTTCCCTCTGCACTGTTGTCCCAGTCCAAATCAGGGCTGTATGAAACAGCCAGTGTGGTGTAGTGGTTAGGAGCGTGGACTCTAATCTGGGAAAACTGGGTTTGATTCCCCACTCCTTCACATACAGCTGCTGGTGTGACCTTGGGTCCTGGAAAGAGCTCTCTCAGCCTCACCAGCCTCACAGGGTGTCTGTTGTGGGGAGGGGAAGGGAAAGGAGATTGTAAGCCACTTTGGGACTCCTTCGGGTTCTTCGAACTGGTAGGAGATTGGGCTTGCTCCCAGTTTGGCCCTTAGTTTCCTATGTACCCTTACTGCAGGCCCACTTTCAGAATGGGACCGTTATAACTTTTAATGACCCTCTCAACCTGTTTTGATTGTTCTATAATGGTTCGATGCTGCTGCTCAGAGAGACAAAGTTTCTACTGTCATACCACTCTTCTTGAAGCATCCCTTTGGCAGTCCAGGTAAACAAATGATTTCACTTGACAAGGGGTGTATTTTGCTAGTTGTTTTGTTACTGCTGCTTCCAATAAGTACCTGGAACAAATTGCTAGGATTGCTTGTTCAACTTTTGTATTGGTTGACTTACACATTATTTGCTGTTAGGCGAGCTAAAAGTCATTCCACAACCATTTTACACTTTAGCTTAGATTTTAGAAAGAACACAACACTCTTTGAGCTCTACACGTATAATGGATGGTTCTACTTATTGTAGGTTTAAAATAATCCTTCTGTGGAAAAGACCTGAGAATAACTATACAATCTGAATGAGAAAAATCCAACTATATATCACAACTGTTATTTTTAGTGCATTGCAGAGAATGCTCAAAAACAAAATTTCAGAGCTGAGATCCTCAAGGGAAACAAGATGACAAAGTTGTTGCAAGAAGCTGAACAGGGTTTTTAAAATTAGCAGGAAAGTTAGAGAACAGGATTGATACCGGTGGCTCAGTGGCTATGAGCCTATCTTTCTACTCTAGGGTTGCCAGCTCCAGGCTGGGAAATACCTGGAGATTTGGGTGGTGGAACCTGAGGAGGGTGGGGTTTGGGGAGGGGCTTCAATGGGGTACAATTCGATAGAGTCCACCTTCCCAGTTGGCCATTTTCTCCAGGTGAACTGATCTCTGTTGTCTGGACATCAGTTGTAATAGCAGGCGATCTCTAGCCACCACCTGGAGTCTGGCAACCCTGCCCCCATTCTCTCAGAGGAAGATTACTTTAAGAAGACCAGGCTTCAAAACTCTGCTTGCCAAGGATATAACTACGTGACTTTGGACCAGTCTCTCTGAGCCTAACCTACCTCACAGGGTTTTATTTATTTGCTTCATTTATATCCTGCCTTTTTCTCCAGTGGGGATCCAAAGCAGCCTGCATCTTTCTCCTCTTTCCATTTTATTCTCACAACAACCCTGTGCTGGAGGCTAGGCTGAGAGTGTGTGACAGTCCCATGGTCACCAGCAAGTTTCCATGGCAGAGTGTGGATTCAAGCCTGGATCTTAAAAGGGGATTAGACAGATTCATGGTGGAGAGGTCTATCAGTGGCTGAATGTGGAGGTTCCCCTCAGAGGCAGTCAACCTCTGCATCTCAGAGCCAGGAGGCAATATCAGGGGAAGGCCTTGGCCTCTATGCCCTGTTGTTAGCCCTCCAGAGGAACTGATTGGCCACGGTTTGATCCAGTAGGGTTCTTCTTATGTTCTTCCAGATTCTAGTCTGAAACTCTATTACACCAACAAGACAGAATGGAGAAGGAAATAATTATGTATGCTACCCAGAGGTCCTTGGATGAAGGGTGGAATAAAAATGTGCTAATAAATAAAATGGGCAGAGTGTGTCTCAGCATACAGCTTATATTCTATTCCAACAGACTACATTTGGAACCTGTTGGCATTTTATTATTTTGGGAAACACTGGTTTTTTTGTACTTAAACCATATTTTAGGGATTCTATACACCAGAGATCCAGAAAGCTATTTTCCATATCAAATATACATACAGCCTATGTCCACAAAGGAACAGCTTTTAAGAACAATGACTAGCTTTGCAGTTGTCATAATAATGAATAAATATGTGGTCAGGATTTCCTAGCAACCTATCAGTTAAACAGAACCTGCAATACTACGGTTGAAATGGTATCATGAAACAATGTGGTCATCTTAACCCTCCTCCCTACAGGTTTTTTTTTATCCCCTGCTCTTTGTTTGGATATGAGGAATACTTTGAAATGCAGTATTCAGCAAATTATTCCACAAACGGAAAATGCTGAACAGCGATGGCTTGGGCCTTTACCTTAAGAAAATTCCCCATGGAGTGCTCCCCTGGAGCACTGTTGGTGCCCAGGAGCAAGGAAAGCTGAGGCTGAACAGTACTGGTTGTGCCAGTTTAGTCAGTGGCAGCAGACGTAGGCTCACCCCTTGCCTTCTCCTGTACTTCTGCTTGGTAGGTCCTGTTGGTGCTGTTTGGCTCAGGTTAGCTCCTGGGATATTTCGATGGCTCATTCTGCCCCTAGTGTGGAACATGCAAAAATACCAAGAAAGAATCGTGGCGGGGGAATATCAAGTGGCTAAAATATCGTGGGAATATCAAGTGGCTAAAATATCGTGATGACGAGGAAGCAACTACTTCAGAAGTACAAATTGTGGTTTCAATAGCACAGTAGTAGAGTATATGCAGAATATGTGAAAGAGGGTTGGGAAAGCACAAACTGAGGGGAAAAGCGGAAATTTGGTGTGTTAGAAATGATGACTTTGGTAATGCGGTTTGGAGCACACAAGTCTGCAGAATTTTCCACTAGTTCAATACGGAGGGAGACAATATTTTGTGGCCAGCAGTTTACAAGGATTATCTACAAACTTCCTTCAGATATATTAATAGGGGGCCCAATCCAGCAAACGTTATTCACATTTAAATCCCAGTGACAGCAATAAAAAGAGCATACAGTGGAAGCCTAAACATATTTATCTTTTAGTGTGTTTAAAATTGTAGCCTCAGTTGCAATTAATTTGTTTTATTGATTTCAATAAGACATTTTTACAAGTAACTTTTGCTGGACTGCATCTGGGGCATACTGTAAATTGTGCCAGTGACCCATATGCTATTTCCCCTCCCCAGTCATATTATACAAATTGTTATTTCTTTAAGGGGGTTTATATTGATTAGTTTCTGCCATTTCTGATATCTGTGCTAACTCTCAAAGGAAATGAGACCTGACCTGGAATAAGAACAGAGCAGGCAACCCAAATAGAGGGATGGTGGGCAAATCTACAACTCTGTTCCACTGATTGTGTTCAAAGGGTTGCCAACATCTGCTGGGAAATTCCTGGAGATTTGGGGGTGGAGCTTGGGGAGGGCAGGGTTTGTGGAGGGAAGGGACCTCAATGGGATATAATGCAATAGAGTCCACCATCCAAAGCAAAGCAGCCATTTTCTCCAGGGGAACTGATCTCTGTAGGAAATCAGCTGTAATTCTGGGAGATCTCCAGGCTCCATCTGGAGGTTGGCAGCCTAGTTCATTCTCTTGCCCTTCTCCAGGTGAAATCAGCGCAGAGAGGCTAAAGGAAGATGACATGCAACTTCCATTGCTGATATCCAGTGGCTGGAAAATGATCTGCTTCAACATTGTCCCTGTAGTGAGGAGAAAACAGAACGCTCTGAAGTTCAACAACAATTGGCGAGAAAGAGGTTTTCCACAAGGCAGCTTGTGGAAAGTCACTCAGGAGGCTGACTACATCCCTGCCAGTTACTATCACTGGAGGTAAACATGATACTGTACTCAATATACATTGTCTGGGGGGGAAAGGATATATTTCCTTTGTGATATTCCCTCTTGCCAGACCTGATGGCTGATCTTCTGCCATCTTGCAGGATCACCCTCAGGCTCGCCAGGCTTCAGAATGGGAATTTGCTAGTAGTGTGTGGAGAATGCTGGAGAGCAGATTTCCTAAAATCCTGCATACTGGCTATATCTATCCTCCTGTAGCACAAACTTTTTGTATACCTGAGGCAGGCACGAGGATTGGAATTGTATTTTCTTTTAGGTGATAACAGAAATTCAATGGATTCCACCAATCTCCATCTTTTGATGTAACTCTAAAGTATTCTAGTTATTTTCTATGATAAATAAATTGGAAGGACAATGAAAGCAAAATGCTGCAGAAACATTACACAATGTACTCAGCACTCCATATTCTGCCAAGCCTTTATTTAACATTTTAATTAGCTCCAGAGTGAGTGAAATCTATTTTTGGTCCACCTCCCAGCTTAGCCTAACAAAATGATCGGACTTATTTACAGAAATGCTAAAATATGGATTTTGGTTGCAAGTGAGCATCATCTGGGCTAATTCATAGCTAGGCCATGTTCAGCAGTGAAATAAAATCCATGTTTGCATTTTTCATACTTGTAAACAGAACAAAAAAGCAATACTGATTATAATGCATATTTCATTTTAAAAATGGGTCTTACTCTCTCTATACCACTGTACAGAATTTTGTTACAGACCAAACTGCATTACTTGTAAAATGCTCTTAATGCTGCAGCTTGGAGTTCAGGCTGGCAAAATGCATGATTTCTCTGCTTGTAGGAAAATGCTGATTCCTCCTGGACCTGTTCATTACCAGAGAATGCAGGCCGTACCATGTTTCCTTATGAGCGATAAATAAGCTGGATGAATATTCATCGGGGGTTATTTAGGTTTGTTGTTGTTCAGTCGCACAGTCGAGTCCGACTCTTTGCGACCCCATGGACCAGATCACGCCAGGCCTTCCTGTGTTCCGCCATCCTCTGAAGTTGGCTCAATTTCATGTTTGTTGCATCTATGACACTGTCTAACCATCTCATCCTTTGCCATCCCTGTCTTCTTTGACCTTCAATCTTTCCCAGAATCAGGGTCTTCTCCAGTGAGTGCTCCCTTCTCATTTGGTGGCCAAAGTATTTGAGCTTCAGTTTCATTATCTGGCCTTCCAGGGAACAGTCAGGGTTGATTAATTTTAGGATTGGCTGATTAGATCTTCTTGCAGTCCAAGGGACTCTAAAGAGTCTTCTCCAGCACCATAGTTCAAAAGAATCTATTCTTTGGCGCTCGGCCTTCCTTATAGTCCAACTCTCGCAGCCATACATGACTACTGGGAATACCATTGCTTTGACCATGCGGACTTTTGTTGGCAGGGTGATGTCTCTACTTTTTATCATGCTGTTTAGGTTCGCCATCGCTTTCCTCCCAAGAAGCAGGCGTCTTTTAATTTCATGGCTGCTGCCACTGTCTGCGGTTATCTCTTGTTGACTATAAAGGCCACACAATTTTTTCTATGAGATTCCTGGCCACAATAGAAGATATAATGGTCTTCTGAGTTAAATTCGCCCATTCCTGTCCACTTTAGTTCACTGATTCCGAAGATTTTGATGTTCAGTCTTGCCATCTCATTTTTGACTACGTCAAGCTTACCTTGATTCATAGATCTTACATTCCAGGTTCCTATGCAGTATTGTTCTTTGCAACATCCGACTTTCCTTTCACCATCAGACACATCCACAACTGAGCGTCCTTTTGGCTTTGGCCCAGCCGCTTCACTCTTTCTGGGGTTACTTGTACTTGCCCTCTGCTCTTCCTCAGTAGCATATTGGACACCTTCCGACCTGAGGGGCTCATCTTCCAGCATCATGTCTTTTAGCCTTTTGATACTGTCCATGGGGTTTTCTTGGCAAAGATACTGGAGTGGGTTGCCATTTCCTTCTCCAGTGGATCACACTTAGACTGAGTTCTCTGCTGTGGCCTGTCCGTCTTGGGTGGCCCTCCACGGCATAGCCCACAGCCTCATCGAACCACAGAAGCCCCCTCGCCATGACAAGGCAGTGATCCATGAGGGGGTATTTAGGTTAGGGTTTAGCATACGGGTTTGGATTAGGTAATTGATTCTTGCTGTAATTCTGTGATAGATTCTATACTGTAAAATTACAATTCTTGGGGCAATTAACTCACCATCAAGAATCTCTGCAGTATCCTTAATAATGCTTGATTTACTTTTAACTACCAGAGAAGATATCTCCATGACTTTCCTAGGCAACTTGTTCAGACATGAGTATCTCCTCATTATCTCTTCATAAAACTTCTGAAGGGTGGGGATCAGGAGCAGATTATGTACATTTTATAAAAATAAACTAGATGCTATTTTAAATTCTTAATTACAGTGTTTTCCTCATGTACAAGATGTTACCACTTTGGTGTGGAGAGGTATAGAATTGAAAACCAGGTTCTGGTGATAATACAGGACTTAGAGTTGCGGGGAAACAGTGCTGTTTGGGCCCAAAATAAGGACCTACAGTTGAGACATCATTCACAGAATATGAGACCAATTTTTCACAGAGCCTAAGCAACAGAAAAAGGGAGAAGATCATCTAATTGTTATCACCCACTGGAAAGATTTTAACTGCCCTTTGAGGATCTTGATGTTCTTCAACTTTTCTATCCATGGAAGATTTGAATGTTCTACTGTAGTGTAGTTTGGACAATGCTATGACACTTGCACAGACAATGTCAGTAGACCAACAGAAAAGAAATTTTGCATATTTCAGTATAAATAGATCCACTGGGTACATTTGTCTTCTCTTTGATAATTCTGTCACAGCTTTTTTCTCCCCTGAATACTCACTGAAATGTCCACCTCAGAAACAGAGCTGTCCAGTCCTTAAAGAAGTGCTTGCTGAATGATTTGAATGTCATCTTAGAAGAAGGCGGTGGTGGTGGAGAATGAGGTTCACTTTGTGGTCATTAGCTGACTCAGAGGTAAAAATTTAGTATAGTTAACTATGAGAAGATATCTGGAACCTTTGTAATTGGGAAGCCACAGCACAAAGTTACAGTCTGACCAGTAGAAAAGTAGCTCTAACTGAGCAGGTTCTCCATTCAAATAGGAGAAAGTGACCATCATCTCCACAGTCCCTATACTCCCTATGTAGCCATCTCCACAAAAGGGCACTGGCTTGGAGTACTAATGTGCAGGCACAATTGTTAATTTGTATCACCAACTCTCATCATGAATGTCAGCACTGTTTCATATATATATATAATACATAAGAACATAAGAGAAACCAATGATGGATCAGGCCAATGGCCTGTCCAGTCCAACACTCTGTCACACAGTGGCCAAAAATACCAGATGCCATCAGGAGGTCCACCAGTGGGGCCAGGACACTAGAAGCCCTCCCACTGTTGCCCCCCCACCAAGAATACAAAACATCACTTGCCCCAGACTGAGAGTTCCTATTTATACCTTGTGGCTAATAGCTACTGATGGATCTCTGCTCCATATGTTTATGTAATTCCTTCTTCAAGCTATCCCTGCTTGTAGCCACCACCACCTCCTGTGGCAGTGAATTCCATGTGTTAATTACTCTTTGGGTGAAGAAGTACTTCCTTTTATCTGTTCTAACCCGTCTGCTCAGTAACTACATTGAGTGCCTACAAGTTCTTGTATTGTGGGAAAGGGAGAAAAGTACTTCTTTCTCGACCTGCTCTATCCCATGCATAATCTTATAAACCTCGATCATGTCACCCCTCAGCCATCATTTCTCCAAGCTAAAGAGCCCAAGCACTTTAACCTTTCTTCATAGGGAAAGTGTTCCAACCCTTTTATCATTCTAGTTGCCCTTTTCTGCACTTTCCCCAATGCTATAATATCCTTTTTGAGGTGTGGTGACCAGAACTGTACACAGTATTCCAAATGAGGTTGCACCATCAACTTACACAGGGGCATTCATAATACTGGCTGATTTGTTTTCAGTTCCCTTCCTAATAATCCCCAGCATAGCGTTGGCCTTTTTTACTGCAGTCGCACACTGTCTCAACATTCTCAGTGAGTTATCTACTACGACTCCAAGATCTCTTTCTTGATCAGTCTCCGCCAGTTTGGACCCCATCAACAGGTATTTATAGTTAGGATTTTTGGCCTCAATGTGCATCACTTTGCACTTGGCCACACTGAACCTAATTTGCCACGCTGATGCCCACTTGCCCATTCTTGACAGATCCCCTTGGAGTGCCTCACTATCCTCCCTGGTTCTCACTACCCTGAACAACTTCATGTCATCCACAAATTTAGCCACTTCACTGGTTACTCCCAACTCCAAATCATTAATGAACAAGTTAAAAAGCACAGGAGCCAGTACTGATCCCTGTGGTACCCCACTGTTTATCACCCTCCACTGTGAATATTGCCCATTTATACTCACTCTCTGGCCAAGTTCAGACTGGCAGTTTGCCCCAATATAGGCACATTTCAGAAACGTTCCACAACCGGATTAAAGGGGCCGTTCACACAGGCACATCTGTCCAGCGTTCCCCAGCCGTACTTAACCTGTCTCGTAATGCTTCCCCCCCCCCGAGTTTAAAAGATACCAGGTGAAAGTGGTATCAAACCCTGGAAAGGAGGAGGAGGAGGAGGAAGAGATTGGATTTATACCCCACCCTTCACTCGGAGTCTCAGAGTGGCTTACAAACTCCTTTCCCTTCCCCTCCCCACAACAGACACCCTGTGAGGTGGGTGGGGCTGAGAGAACTCTGACACAAACTGCTCTTTCAGGAACAGCTGTGCCAGAGCTTGTGACTGAACCAAGGTCACATCAGCAGGTGCAAGTGGAGGAGTGGGGAATCAAACCCGGTTCTCCCAGATTAGAATCTGCACTCTTTACCGCTACACCAAACTGGCTTCCTGGAAAGCACGATTATCCCGTGTCCATTCCGCACCAACAAAATGTGAACGCCGAAAGCTGCGTATTTCTTGTGCGCTTATGCAAAAAGAAAGCTGCACCTTACAGCCGTGCCTCCAGGCCAACAGTGTGAATGCTCTCTTGCGCCTCCTCCTGGTATGCTCCCACATCAGTCGCTGCAGTGTGAACGGGAAAACTCAGAACACTTTGTTCCGGGTCTTTTTTGCCACGACTCCCTCCCACTTCAAACTGCCAGTCTGAACTCAGCCTCTGTTTCCTATTCATTAGCCAGTTTTTGATCCACAAGAGGAATTGTCCCTTTATCCCATGACTATTGAGTTTACTTAGGAAACTTTGATGAGGAACTTTATCAAAAGCTTTCTGGAAGTCTAGGTAAACAGCATCTATTGGGTCCCTTTTGTCCACATGTTTGTTCACCCCCTCAAAGAACACTAAAAGGTTAGTGAGACAAGATCTTCCTTTACAGAACCCATGCTGAGTCTGCTTTGTTCATCAATGTGCCTACTAATTCTCTCCTTAATAACAGTTTCCACGAACTTGCATGATATCGATGTCAGACTGACTGGCCTGTAATTTCCCAGAACTCCTCTGGAACCCTTTTTAAAGATGGAGGTGACATTAGCTACCTTCCAGTCCTCAGGAATCGAGGCAGATTTTAATAAAATATTACATATTTTTGTCAGGCGATCCACCAGTTCACATCTGAGTTCTTTCAGAACTCTTAGGTGTATGCCATCCAGGCCTGGTGATTTATCAGTTTTTAAGTTATCTATCAGTCGTAGGACCTCCTATGTTGTCACCTCAATCTAACTCAGGTCTTTCAACACCCCTCCCGAAATCAGAAGTTCTGGAGTGGGCCCAAGACCTGGTGAGAGATGTAAAAGTGAGTGCACTACTTGGGTACAGTGACCATAATGCTATTGATTTAAATGTTTATATAAATAGGGAGTTTCCCCAAAAGACCGACACAACCACTTTTAACTTTAAAAGGGGTAACTTCTCTGAAATGAGGGGACATGTGAAGAAGAAACTGAAAGGACAAGTAAAAAGGGTCAAAACCATTGGGGAAGCTTGGAGACTATTTAAAACTACAATCCTAGAATCTCAGAAAAAATATATACCGCAGGCTAGGAAAGGCACAAATAGGTATAGAAAAAGTCCTGCATGGTAAACGAACAAAGTAATGGAAGCTGTAAAAGGTAAGGATTCCTTTAAGACTTGTGGTGGAAAGTTAGTGTCAGTGAGGCTGATAAAAGGGAACACACATTGTGGAAAATAAAATGCAAGTCTGTGATCAGGCAGGCAAAAAGGGAATATGAGGAGCATATTGCAAAAAACATAAAGCCAACAATACAAATTTATTCAAATACATTAGAAGCAGGAAACCAGCCAGGGAGGCAGTGGGGCCCTTGGATGACCAAGGGGTAAAAGGATTACTGAAGGATGATAGGGAAATGGCTGAGAATCTGAATGCATTATTTGCATCATGTTTTAATGTCATGTGGTTGACTTTGTAAACTGAACTGTATTGAGTGCAAAATAAAATACTACACTGAAACAAACTGAAAGCAACTTCTAGTGACATCTGTCTCTTGTTAGATATTCTACCAGTCGACCCATCCTGAAACTCCTTCAGATTATTAGCACCTTAAAGGGTTACTGTCTGGACAGTCTCTGCCTCCTTGACCAAGTCAACCATGAATACTGGACAGAAAAAGGCAATAACAAAGGGCTTACCTTTCACCACTTAAAGGTAGGTTTTTCTGCACTGCTTATGTTATGATGCTGTGATGTCATATATACCTAGGATGTGTGGATGAGGCAACCCATCCACTGTCTTAAAAAAAATCCCCATTCCTACCCTTAAGAAACACTAGGACAGTGTTTTCCTGCTGCAGCCTACACTTGAATTTGCAAACGGTCCACAAATTATTGCATAAGGATCCTTGATCTCTCTTTGTCTCCCGCAGAACTAGAGAAGCACCTTGAACACCACAGTGGTACCATATAAGTTAGAGAGATAGAAGTAGTGTAAGAGGACAGGATCAGGTCCTTCAATCCATAGGCAACTCTCTGCACAGTGACTCATATGAATGGACTGTAGTGAAGCAAAAATACCTTGTCGGGCTGTTAGTTAGTCTTGTGTTAAGTACAATAAACGGGTGCAAACTCATGTCATCGTCCGAATCCTCCATGCGGCGAACCCAGTACTTTTCACCATCCACAGATGCTCAGGGAAGGAAGGAGTCCTTATTTTGAATGGAAACCTCCTTTTGTGCACAGAAGGGAGCCTTGCATAAGAGAAAGGGTACCTGGCTGGATCCAACGCGGGGAAGGAGTGAAAGGAGCCTCATGGCGGTGCGCTGGGGGTGCCTTATCCCGCAGCGCAGGCTGGGCAGCGAGGGCGGCTGCTCTCTCCCTCCCTGCAAACCGATGGGGCACCCAGGATGCCCAGTTGATTTTTAGGGGGGAGGGGTGAAGTTAATCCCAAATTTTCAGCTCCCCCCCCCCACGCAGGCACCTAACCAACCACGGCTGCTTGAAACTGGATGCGGGGGATGAAAGAGGCGGGCACAGAAAAAAACCCTTTAAAGAGTTGTCTGGAGTGGGCTCCATCCGAAAACCGGCTCCCCTCGCCCTAGTAGCTGGCAAAGGGACGTAGTCTGTGCCACTGTTTATTATCATTGCGTAACCCACCTGGAGACCCAGCAAGGAAGATGGAGCACAAATAAACAGAAAAATACAGAAACGGGGGTGCTTCCTGGGGTGCACCAGGAGGGGGGGCAGGTCTGGTGTCCTTCAGGTTGAATCTGCACAGGTGGCACCCAGAACCAGAGGGCACCCAGGCAGAAGAGCCCCCACCAGACAGGTTGGGCAGGTGCTGGGCATCAAAGCTTGAGAAGGGCTGGTGTAGCAAAGGTGCCCCCCTCTCAGAAGGGCTGCAGGGCCAGGGGGCAGGTGGCAGGAGAGTCCCCCCCACTCCTGGAAAAGTCAGTGCAGGATCGCCACGAGGGCAACAGGAGGGCGATTGCCCCCAGGAGCAAAAGGCGCCACTGAAGGAACCTCATTCGAGCCCGGACGCTGCCTGGGAACCTCCGTCTGGCCCCGCTTCACGTCTTGCCACTGGCTTAATGCACAGCTAGTGAGCTGAGAGCCTGATGGGGCAGGAAGGCGAAGCTAGAGCTTCAGATGGGCTGATCGACAACAAGAGCTGCCCAATAGGAAAAAGAGCTGTGCCAGTTGCTAGGCAGAGTCCACCCCGGCGTCCCTGGGGGCAGTTGGTTCACAGAAGACCCGGGAGTGGAGTGGTCTCGTGTCAAAGTTGCTTTGGGGCGCCGGGGAAGGTTCACGCCATGGCCACCCTTCTCCCCCCCGTGCTGGGCTCCCTTGCTCCACGGCTGCCGGGAAAAGTTCTGCTGCATCCAGAGAGGCGGCATGTTGGAGGCAGGAGGGGGGAGGCGGGGGCACGAGGTGAGCCGGCGGGAAGGGGTGCGCTGTGGAGTGGGGCCCCAGAAAGCAATGCTGTGAGTGGGCGGCGGCGGCGGAGGCAAGGGCCTCACTGCGCCCCTTGGAGATCTGCACCCTAGGCCATTGCCCTAGTTGGCCTAGTGGAAGAGCTGGCCCTGGAGGCAGGCAACGGCAAACCACTTTTGAATGTCTCTTGCCCTGAAAACCCTACACAGTCATTATGTCAACTTTGATTTGACACCCCCCCCCCAATTCTATCACACCCCTCGTGTTCTGAGCAGGCACTTGAGATGGCTTCGGTTGTCCATTTTGAAGCCCAAGAGTTGACCATCCCAAACATCTACAAGGCATTTTTGAGTGCTAGGAGTCTACCTTTGTCCTAACTTTTACTAACGCCAAAGCATCACAAAATAGTGATCGCAAGCTTCACCAGATTGAATGTTAAGAAACACACTACCCCTCCAAGAAGATGCACCCATCCTCCATTGTTTCCAAAGAACTAAAGTCAAACCAGAGAATCTCTGCAGTAAAAACTGAAGGTTTTTTTTTTGCAAGCCCAGCAGAACAAGAGCAATGTACAGAGTACCCAGCAGTACCAATGCAATCACAGGGTGCCATTATAGCAATGCCAGCTCAACAGGATTGATGTCAAGCACAGAATCACAGTTCAAGTAAGGTGCGGGATGGGGGCTGGAAGCCCAGCAGAACCAGTGCAATGTACAGTACCCAGCAAACACAGTGTCTGTTCATAACATTAATAAAGGTTTGCTACTATACTACTCTTAAATACATTCTGTCACCAAGCAGGATAGGGATGAGAAGGCCTTGAGACCAAGAATTTAATATGGGGGAGGGGAAGGAAAAATAAGGTGAAGGGAGATAGAAATGAATGAGAGAAGTGAGGAAAAGAGGGAGAGAAATTAAGAGAGGGAAATGTTGTTTTATCTTGCTGCAACACCCTAAGTACTGCTTTGCAAGATTTGACTGCGCTAGGTGCAAGGAAAGGACGAGAGAAAGGCTAGACTATTGGAAAAAATTATTTGCTGGCTGGAAATTACTGTAGCAGCTATCAGTGTTCTGGCTCGGTTGATGTTAAGCATGTTTTCTTCAGTCTTGGAGCAAGGGAAATTTAGCCTTTCCTATAGTGTTTTTTGCTATGCTCAGACTTCCCTGTGCCCCTATTGGCTGCAGCCAGAACTGCATTTTAAAAATAAAAGGAAATAACATTTGGCTGGACACAGCATGATGCTGGCTTCAAGGGCATTCTTCAAAGGCCTTCCTCAAGCTGTGCCCCAGGTGGACTGCACACCCTTGGTACATCACACCCCCTCTGGTTGGCTCTGTGATCAACTGTTCCAGTGCACAGTCATTTATGATGTCTAGGAATCTCATTTCTATAGCAAGGTAATTGAAAACAAATTAGCCAGTATCATAATGCCCCTGTATAAGTTGATGGTGCGACCTTATTTGGAATACTGTGTACAGTTCTGGTCACCACACCTCAAAAAGGATATTATAGCACTGGAAAAAGTGCAGAAAAGGGCAACTAGAATGATCAAAGGGATGGAACACTTTTCCTATGAAGAAAGGTTAAAGCGCTTGGGGCTCTTTAGCTTGAAGAAACAACGGCTGAGGGGTGACATGATCGAGGTTTATAAGATTATGCATGGAATAGAGCAGGTCAAGAAAGAAGTACTTTTCATCCTTTCTCATAATGCAAGAACTCATGGCCACTCAATGAAATTGCTGAGCAGTTGGGTTAGAACAGATATAAGAAAGTATTTCTTCACCCAAAGAGTGATTAACACATGGAATTCACTGTTACAGGAGATGTTGGCAACTACAAGCATGAGTGGCTTCAATAGGGAATTAGATAAATATATGGAGCAGAGATCCATCAGTGGCTATTAGCCACAAGGTATAGATAGGAACTCTGGGGCAACTGATGCTCTGTATTCTTGGTGCTTGGGGGGAAGCAACAGTGGTAGAACTTCTAGTGTCCTGGCCCCACTGATGGATCTCCTGATGGCACCTGGTATTTTTGGCCACTGTGTGATAGAGTGTTGGACTGGATGGGCCATTGGCCTGATCCAACATTGGCTTCTCTTATGTTCTTATGTTCACATTTTTACCCAGTCAATGTGAGGGTAGTTAAAGTCTCCCAGTATAATAACATTATTTGTTTTAGTCACCTCCATTATTTCCTTCTCCATCTCAAGATCAGCCCTCAGGGTTTGATCAGGTGGGAGATAGTACACCCCCACTTTTAAGTAACCCTTAAGGCCCAGTATTTCTACCTATATTGCTTCTGTTGGGGAATTAATTCCCCTGATGTTTTCTAACTTATTTGAATCTGTGCCCTCTTTGATGTACAATGCAACACCACCGCCAACTCGTCCCTCCCTGTCCTGCCTATACAGTTTATAGTCAGGAATGACTGTATCCAATAGATTTTCCTCATTCCACCATTGTCATTGAACACCAAGCACTCCAGCTCCCCTATCTTGGCTCGGAGACTTCTCGCATTGGCATATAGACTTCTGTAATGTGTTTCCCTCTCCAACAACCCTCACCTCCCTTGGTCCCTTAGTTGCCACACATGGTCCTCAGTTGCCATGAGCTCTATGCAATGAGCACACACCCATGATTTCCACCCAGTGGGTAGATAATCATACATGTGGCACTGTCTGCAAAACACTGGATAGCCCCCGCTTTCTACCTTCATAACTAGTTAGTGGTTTAAAGGTATCTAGAGGGATGTAGGGTCCCCAGGCCTGGTCCCAAGGTTAAGAGCCACAGGCCAAGAACCCTTTATCATGTTTGCTGCTTTTAATATTATTGTTAAACATTTATTTCTGTTTCTTTAGCTTGTTATCTATTTTTATTGTAAGCCACCTTGGGTGTCCTTTGAGCAGAAAGGAGGGGCATAATTGCCTAAATAGATTAAAAAATGCAAGGAGAGACAAAGACACCTATATCCTGATTAGAGAAGACAGGCAGGTTGATGTACTCCGAAGGCTTCAAGTTTCTCAAGGAAGCTGGCTCCACAGTTTAAGAAAGTGATTTTGAAGCACCAATGTTGTATTCCTGGCACTGTCTGTATGGATATTTTGGACTATTTTTGTTAGTATTGTTGCAACTTCACACCTGCTGTTTTTATATGTTTTTTTATAACAGCAAATTTCAACATGATATCTTCTAGCGATCCTATATGGTTGGTTGGTTTGTGGTACTGTTTTTAAAACATTCAATCTGTCATCTCTCCGAGAGAGATAACATGGAGCAGTCGAGCATGTTTTGCAGAATCTGGGGGCGTGCCATTAAGTTTATAGGCATTTTACTTCTGTAGTTGTCATTCTAGATGGCTGCAGTATTCTAGGAAGAATGCCCATTTTCAAATAAACACGTTTTAAATGTATGTCTTTTTTGTCTGCTTTGTTTGCAAGTTCTACTCTTAATTGGTCTGAAATTAACAAAGCTTTCCTTAACATAAGAACATAGGAGAAGCCATGTTGGATCAGGCCAGTGGCCTATCCAGTCCAACACTCTGTGTCACACAGTGGCCAAAACCCAGGTGCCATTAGGAGGTCAGAACTCCAGAAGCCCTGCCACTGTTGTCCCCCCAAGCACCAAGAATACAGAGCATCACTGCTCCAGACATAGTTATCCTACTATACATTGTGGCTAATAGCCACTGATGGATCTCTCCTCTGTATGTTTATCCAATCCCCTCTTGAACCTGTCTATGCTTGTAGCCTCCACCACTTCCTGTGGCAGTGAATTCCATGAGTTAATCACTCTTTGGGTGAAGAATATACTTTCTTGTATCTGTTCTAAGCCTCCTGCTCACTAATTTCATTAAGTGCTCACAAGTTCTTGTACTGTGAGAAAAGGAGAAAAGTACTTCTCTGCCTTCTCTATTCTATGCATAATTTTGTAAACCTCTATCTTGTCATCCCTGAATCGTCATTTCCATAGGCAACGTTTCCAACCTCTTTAATCATTTTAGTTGCCTTTTCCTGCATCTTTTCCAATGCTATCTTTTTTGAGGTGTGGTGACTAGAACTGTACACAGTATTCCAAATGAGGTCATGCCATAGATTTATACAGGGGCATTATGATACTGGCTGATTAGTTTTCAGTCCCCTTTCTAATAATCCGTAGCAGAGCATTTGCCTTTTTTTTTATTGCAGTTGCACATTGAGGTGACATCTTCGGTGAGTTATCTATCATGACTCCAGGAAATCTTTCCTGGTCAGTTACCACCAGTTCAGACCCCATCAATGTATATTTATAGTTAGGATTTTTGGCTTCAATGTGCATTACTTTCCACTTGCCCATGTACATATTGCACACATTGAACCTCATTTGCCACACTGATGCCCAATCTCCCAGCCTGGACAGATACCTCTGAAGCACCTCACAGTCCTCTGTGGTTGTCACCACCCTGAACAACTTAGTATCATTTGCAAACTTAGCCAAATCATTAATGAACAAGTTAAAAAGCACCAGACCTAGTACCGAACTCTGTGGTACCCCACTACTTACCCCCTTCCACTGTGAAAATGGCCCAGTTATACTCACTCTCTGCTTCCTGTTAATTAACCAGTTTTTAATCCACAAGAGGGATTACACAGTATTACTGCTTCTCTCTAGACTACAGAGATCAGCTGCCCTGGTGAAAATGGATGCTTTGGAGGGTGGGGTCTATGGCATTGTACCCCACTGAGGTCCCTGTCCTCCCCAGGCTCCACCCCCCAGTCTCCAGGAGTTTCCCAACCTGGATGTGGCACCCCTACCCTCATCCCCAACTCGTGGCTGGGGGGACCTGGTAACCATAACAAACATAGAGATTCTGCTCCTTAATGTGAAACACTAGAGACATTGTTAAACATTTGAAAGATAGATTTGAACCTTTTTTTCTTCATCGACTTTAACAGCTATTTATTTTTCCTCCTAGATGGTGTTGTTGTGGGCCACTCACTTTTTCTCTTCCCCCGAAGACTGGGTGAATCTGGAAGGGTCAGTGTATCGCCTTCTGGTGATTTTGCTCTGCTGTTTAGTGATCAACCGTCTCCCACATTTCCTGTATCCTGAACAAAATCTGTTCCATGGAGAAGGTGCAGACCTGAGTTCATTGTACGCCAAAGTGGAGAGCTTTGCTAACAACCCTAAGTATTTCCTGAAGTTCAATTTTTCTGGAACAGAATATAAAACACTCCACCAGATAGATAATGCTTTCAAAGCTTTACTTCACCTCCCAGCTGAAGATAAAGCCTACTGGGACACAGCCTTCTTTGATATGCTGCTTAATAAGGTAATTAATCATAAATACAGGGTTACAAGTTTATATGATGGTGATGGTATTCAAATAGTCACTTGTTGCCTGCTTCAGAGGGAGCCGTGTTGGTCTACAGTAGAAGAGCTAGATCGGAGTCCATAAGTTCCTTAGAGACCAACAAGATTTCTGGGATATGAACGCTCCCTTCTTCAGATATCTGCTGTAAGGTGCTACTCGACTTGCACCTAGCTCTTCACTTTTTGCCTTTTTGATCTTGGGACTTACCTGTGACTGGCTTCCAAGTAGAAAAGAGCAAGAGTCCAGTAGCACCTTAATGTCCCAGTCCCAACTGGGCTATTTGGGAGCAGGAGCGAGGGGGGGGGGCAGAACCACCACCCACAGAGAGAGACATTGGTCCAAGACAGAGAGGAGGAGCCCCAACTCAACACGATGCGTCCCCCCAGTCCCCGACCCACCTGGAGTGCAGAGGAGGTCTGGGGTGAAGACAACAAGGAGGCAGCACGATGACAAGGGGATGAGCCCTCCCCGCTGGATGGCGAGGATGGAGGCTTCCCAGCTCCAAAACTGCGGCCCAGGCTGTGGGGGCAAAAGTATGGGGTCCGGGGATGGGCCTGCACCCAGCAGCAGCCAGAGCAATGGAGGCGGCTGCATGGGAAGCTGGCACCCTCTGTTGGTGCTGGGCCAGTGGCGCCGGGTCCCAGGCCCACGGGGATGAGGCTGTCGCAAGTGCAGGCAGGCGAGCCGCTGAGAGAGACCAGCAGGAGGGCAGCAGGGCACTCAGCAAGAGGATACAAAGAGAAGAGAGGAGGCGGCCGGGGAGGAGCAGATGGTGAAGGTGAAGGGCGGCTGGATAGAGAGATCCTGTGAGCTATTTCAGGGTTAGGGACCTCGGCAGCCGACGGAATAGAGCCCAGGGGGAGCGAAGTTATTGTGCCCTAGTGGCCCAGCACCGGTGGAGGGACGGTGGAGGGAGGCCAAGCCGCAGCAGACCTCAACAGCTGCAACACTTAAAGACTAACAGAATATGTGGCAGGGTATGAGCTTTTGTGAGTCACTGCTCACTTCTTCAAATACAGCTAGAATAGACTATTTTAGCTGTCTTTAAGGTGCTACTAGGAGCTGCGGTGGCTCAAGTGGTTAAGAAGCTGAACTGCAGGCTGTGGAAGGTCGGTAGTTCAGCAGTTCGACACCCGAGTGTGCCGCATGACGGAGTGAGCTTCTGTCTCTAGTTCCAGCTCCTGCCAACCTAGCAGTTCGAAAGCAAGACATTGCAAGTAGATAAATAGGTACCACTTCAGTGGGAAGGTAACAGCGTTCCGTGCGCCTTGGTGTTTAGTCATGCCGGCCACATGACCACGGAAATGTCTTTGGACAGCGCTGGCTCTTCGGCTTTGAAACGGAGAAGAGCACCGCAACCCTAGAGTCGGATTCGACGGGCTTTCGAGCAAGGGAACCTTTACCTTTACCTTTTAAGGTGCTACTGGATTGCTCTTTTCTACTGCTACAGACAGACTAACACAGCTACTAACACGTGTCTTCCAAGTGTAACCATTGATTCAGATGACCCATTAACACAGGTTTCACAGGGTTATTTATAAGCTGCTCATCATAGGTAAACGACCTTTCAGAAAAATAAGTACATGAAAGTTATTTTACATGACATCATATGATATGAAATCAACATGAGTCCACAGTTAGGTAACTATACTGTAGTATCCACCACCTTCTAGTGTTTCAACAGACTGGGTCTCTAAGTCTCAAAACTGCAATTATTGCATTTACATAATCTAAATTTCACAATGAAGAGAGATTATTAAAAATATTATTTTTGAACAATTATTTTGAAAAATGGACATACCTCCCTGCTGAAGCTTTATGACTTAAGCTATGAAAACATAATTGTCTTAATGAACTTGGCTTAGCTTCCTTTTAAGATAAGTAATTGAAACTCTCCCCCAGGCTACTGACAAGAGTTAACAGTGTGTTTAATTGATACATGGGAGTTAATGAAAAACATACACAATTAGAAGTCAGATTGAAACTAACAGCCCTTTCATGCCTCAACTTGCTACCTTTCCCCAAGGCTACAGATAAAGAGTGCCTGTGCTTTTCTTCAGAAGCAGCAGGAAGCTTCTTTTGTTATGTTTCTGAAATTCACTTTGGATGCCCCCATAATGTCTCGGTCCTGACATTCAGGGGGGATAAGGGCAAACTATAGGACATTTTGGAGGTTATTGATACATAGGGTCTCCATAGGTCGGAAATGACTTGACAGCACTTAACACAAACATACCCAAACACAAGCAGCCATATGTAGAGAAGTCCTAAAATGCTCCATTGCATTCAGGAGTAAGCACCTCATACCAGAAAAGGAGTGGGGGAGCAGATGAAACCTTTTCCTTGCCAAATATTTCTCTCCTGAAATTTCCCCTCAGTTGCTTTTATTCCTGCCATGTTCTGGATCCATGTCTATTTCGCAGAGATTGACCTGGAACCCTGTGGTGGGTCAATGGAAAATGGACTGGAGGAGAAGGGTTAAGCACTCTGCACATTCTCTAGTGTAAAATTTTCCCTCTGAAGTTCACTTTGTTATATCTGGCTGCAGTGTAACATGTTGTGAGTCACAGACCCATTTTTGAGATAAAAGGATAATGAGGGGCTAACTTTGCCCTCTGTTATTAGGTGACCCAGGAGGTAAAAATCACCATGTCTTCAGGAGATAGTGACTGGCTATTTTAGCATATGCAGCAGAGGGAAGAGATGTGTTCACAAGGCAATTTTATAAACTGAATGCTGAGAGGAAATCTCTCTTAGGGCAACTCAATTAATGGCTATGTGGATTGGTTTTCAGATCACAGAGACTATCAGAGGGGCCACATAACTTTTGCTGACTTCTCTTCCTTAGAATAATGCCAGGATGCTGAATTCTTAGAGGTCTCATATAGTCCTCCAAAGGCCTGTCTTCCTGAGTGTGCTTGCTATCAGCAAGCATCAAGATACTGCCAAGAAGTAAAAGTTTCCCATAAATCATTGTTTATCTTGATGGCATGAAGGAGACAGAGTGTCTCATAGCAGACTGTGACTGAAGTGAAAGCCAGACTAGATGAGACAGAGGGGAGATCTATGACTGAATCTTATTTCCCCCCCAAAGTTAGAAGTAGCAGATAGATGGGAAATCCAACGGGGACCATTTTTCTGAGAAGGGTGGTTTAATCCTCCCCCCTCCCCCCGTCATTTTCCGAATCTAAATCATGCCCCCTACCAGCTGCTGTTTGTCGTGCACGGGATAACATATAGGTATGTGTTTGGTGCCTAACTCTTTTTTGACCACAAGACAGGCGGATAGTGGTTGTGATCACAAAGGCAATTCGGTCCGGCATAGCCACCCCCCCCCCCGGATCAAAGCGGCATGATCACACACACATATGGCACTCGGTAGCCATCCGTCCCTACCTCGTTGAAAAACAACTCCCATACGCCTTAAACAGCCACCGGGAAAATTTTGTGGTTTTCTAGGTGAGGCGCTTCTGTGGCGGCTTTTCTGGCGTCTGAATGTGCAGGCGCGCCATGGAAGCACAGGAGCCATTTGATTGCCCCTCCCGTTTCCGGCACGGTAGTATGCCGTTTTCAGCAACCCAACCAATCAGAGGGGCGCATCAGCCATGGCTCTGTGCTGGTGGCGTGGTAGCGATGTGAACCGGCCCTCATGGGCCAGCTACCCAATGCAGCCGGCGTTGTGGCTGTGAAGCGCACCTAACTCCAGTGGCTTTTTTCTCTACAGGATACTGCCGTGGCAACCTGCCTGTCTGGACACAACCAGTGTCTGGGAGGGAATTTATCTAATATGGTGTGAATAGATAGGGTAAATCCTATTCCCCCCCCCAAACCTGCTTTTGACTTTTTTAAAAAGTGGGAGACCTAATCATGGATTTCCTTCTATCTCAATCATTATGGGCATGGATGAGCTGAAATGAGGTTTCAGTTGTAATTACATCAGCCTTGAGGTCATGGTCATATAAAATGGAAGTAAGATCAACTTTATCACTAAGTAACCTTGATTTCCATAGTCAGGAGAATAACTTTTGCTATAGTGGCAGATGAAGATGGGGTTCCATTGGTATCTTGGTAGCACACACTTCTGCTTCTTAGGACAGCAATTGGCACAGCATGGAGGCTTAATACCGAATGTATTTACTGAGCATATTTATAGGCCACACTTTACATTAGAAAGGCTCAAGGTACTTACAAAAACCGGAATACAAAATAATAACATTAAATGAAATTATCTGAAGATGTAAATAAATAAAAAGTGGCAATAAGCAGAATAAAATAGTAATAAAACAGATTCTAGACAGTACTTAAATTCCAGAGAAAGGCAAGGCAGTAAGCAAGTGGTTCTAGATGTGACACAGGTGAGAGATTCAGTGATCCCAGGGCTGGGTTTGAGTTCATATGAGCAAGAGAGCAGAAGTCCATTGAGGTTTGAAGAGCAGGGGAGTACTGAGAAGAGTGTGGTAGAACAGGTGGAAAGAGGCCCTATACTGTAAGTTATTATGTGGCTGAGTATGTGTAACATGAACATATGTGTGAGAGAAAGAAGAATGGATCCTATCAGAGCTCAAGAAGTCACAGGATAGGTGAAGAAAGGTCATTAAGTCCACATGGACACTGATATGTTTTGAATGGAAAAGAATAGGCAATATGTTTAAATATCTTGCCCAAGGTCAGCTATCTTGAGAAACATCTGCTGCCTGCCAAAACAGGAAACCTTTTCTTCCACTGGCATTTCATCATCAGAAATAAATACAAGTAACCAGAAATGCATGAAGATGAAGGTTATCCACCCTAGTTCAGAACATTTATTCTTCTGTCCAGCTGCAGTAGTAAAGATGTCAGAAAGAAGTGTCATCCCACTGAACACCTAATTTTTTGTCAGTTTCAGATGTATGAGATTACGGACACACAGCGAGTTTCTGCTATGTCAAACATCCTGTCAAAAACCAAGAAAATGGTAACTAATCGGAGTTGAAAACATCACTTTTCCACTATGACGTCCCTACCTGGATGGATTTGCTTCACATTTAGCATTTCCTGTGAACAAAATCCCTGTCTACTTAGACTGTTTAGCTGAGATTCTGGCTCATCATAACTGCTTTATCAGGAAAAGAACACACAGAAAAAGACAACTTGTGACTGTCACCAGGTGGCAGTGGCCATTAAGGATGATGGTCCAATTTTCTGTTTTTTTTAAAAAAATAGAACAGGTGAATGTACACAGTAGGAGTAACTTTTTTTGTACAATGTAATGTACAATCTGAGAGTTCTGAATCTCTGCAGGAAAAGCTAGAGCTGTGGAATACATGGAGGAAGATGCAACCTACCTCTAAATCCAGTGAGGTAGATTTCCTTTACTCTCTCCCACCTTCACATACTTGGTGATAACAGTGACAGCAGATGCTTGCCCTCACACAGGTGAGGGCTTCCCCTGTTAAAGCACAAGATGCTTTATCTGAAGGAAGAACAAACACTGTTTCTGTAGCCTGATGACTTCCATGGATCTACTGCTCCAGAAAGTGTTTCGAAAGTTGGCCAGCTCTTTCCTTTATCCCAAAGTTCTGATGAGCCTAATCAGTAGGTATACACATTTCAGGGTACATCTCTTCCCATATCCCTGAAATATTGAGTGCATCTGATTAGAGGACAGTAGTTGTGGGCTCTGTCTGTGCATGTGTGTATGTGCTTTAAACACAGATGTGGGGACTCTTGACAGTTTCAGCCTAAGTGGAACTACATCCATCTGACTTCAGACTTCGAAGAGTGTAACTCTGCTTCGATTGCACTGTGAGAGGCTTTACTGCAACAGCTATTCTGGGGATTATAATTAATTATCATAGTAATATTCCAATAATATATCCTGTCATTTACTTTTGCAAACCATGGTGCTTTGTACACATACACACACACACACACAAATTCACATGTTTATCATGTATTCTTTTGCATACTTTTACAAAAAAAATTATGTGTTCCTGGTGCTTCTATATGGACCTGGTTACTTGTAACATTAATTATAAATCTGTTAATCCTTATTTGTGGGAACAGTATATCATATTAATGCAGTCCTTCATAAATCACAAGACCTTGTATCTGGTCATTAAAATAATTCCTTCTTATCAGTTTCTGGCTCAGAGTTTTACTGTTATATACAGTTACTGTAAATATATCATTTTATAGATGCCAACAAGATAAATTAACTGGATATTGTATTTTAATAGTTTCAAAACATATCTTTGCCATATATTTGTAACGTATTAGAAACATGCTCAACTGCAAGATTACTACCTGTATGAGGTCAGCCTACAGTCTTAAAAAATGGGCCTGCTACTATACGTTAAGCCCCAAGGTTATCTCCAGTTATTTGCAAGCTACACCTCTGAAAGACTGTGGGTGATTTCGCACTAGAGCTGCCTCGCGGCGCAGCCCCGTTTGCCCCGACAAAAACATGTTAATTTCACACCCGAGGCTGCGGGGCTGCATTTGACCCGCGGCTTCGCCCGATTTCCTCCGCAGTTTCATGATCCTCAAAAACCAGGATCACGAAACTGCGGAGGAAATCGGGCAAAGCCGTGAGTCAAAATGCAGCCCCGCAGCCTCGGGTGTGAAATTAACATGTTTGTGTTGGGGCAAATGGCGGCTGCGCCGCGAGGCAACTCTAGTGCAAAATCGCCCTGTGATGGGAGAACCTACAAACACAGAAACAAACTGACATAATAAACTGCAATTTCATATGCCATTGTGAGGTCACTGCAATCAAGTCCACAGATCCCTTTCCAGAACGCTTTATGTAAGCCCATATACTTTTCTCCCCAAATACCCATTATGCACAGCTTCCATTTTCCCAAGCATATTATTTGAGATCCTAGCTTCACTACTCCAAAGTGTGGATAAGATTGCAGCCTTATAGTGCAATCCTACTGACAAGGAAGTCCAGCTGAATTCTATGGGGCTTACTCCCAGGTAAGTGTGTCTAAAATTCCAGTCATTTATTTACATCCACTGTGCCCTGTAGTAGCAGCTGCCACTGAATATTCAGGATATAAATTCGGTCATAATAAAACAGATATCCATAGGCACTTTAACAAAATGTTTGAGCTTTTGTGAGTTAGCGCTCTCCTTCCAATAAATATACGTAGAAGTGAGCTCTGACTCATGAAAGCTCATGCTGGAATAAATGGTGTTAGTCTTTATGGTGCCGCTGGTCTTCTGTTTTATTTTGTTAGAATAGGCTAACACAGCTACCCCACTGGAAAAATTCTATCACTATTTCTCTGTCAGATATGGGAACTGAAAGAAACCTTAAAAAGTACAAAGCAAGTTTTCAAAAGTGAAAGGCATAGTTCATACTCAGTTTAATTTCGGTAAAATTTTAACTTTAGATAGATAATTTTAAACTGTGTCCCCCCTTTTAAAGAAGTAGGAAATACTCGGGGGGGGGATCTTTTGCATCCAGGTTTTAAACTGTTGTAGCCATTTCCATGCATCCCCCCCCCTCCGGAAATTTAGGTAGATTATAGTCTTCATCAAGAAATTCTCCATTGTAAATGCCATACTGATATAGAACATACTGATTATATATGGAATTGAAAGTTAATCTTTTTTTTTTGCAATCTCTTTATTGGTTTTTCCAAAACAAAAAGTTACACAATACATAATATTCCAACCCTAACATCAACCTTTTAACACAATTCCTTTAACAACATATACTCCCTTAAAGGTAAAGATAAAGGTTCCCTTGCTCAAAAGCCAGTCGAGTCCGACTCTAGGGTTGCGGTGCTCATCTCCGTTTCAAAGCCGAAGAGCCAGCGCTGTCCGAAGACGTTTCCGTGGTCATGTGGCTGGCATGACTAAACACCAAGGCGCACGGAACGCTGTTACCTTCCCACCAAAGTGGTACCTATTTATCTACTTGCAATTTCTGTAAATATAATTTGTCTGAGCAAACCGTAATCTGGGCGTAATAAGCAAAGATCGTCAGGTTTATCTTTTTTCATAGTCATGTCTAAATGTAGATTTATGTTATCATTCTTACTTTTCCACTAAGATTATTCCATAGAGTCACTAAAAGCAATTTTTCTTATATATTTAATTTATCCAAAATTTTAGTCAAACAAATATAGTTTTTCATAATTACACAATTTTTCCTTATCCCAATTGAACTCTAATTGATTTTCTATTCAAGTAGCTTCATATATCTTATCCTGTTCCTTCCTATATTATGACTGATTATTTACTCAACAATACTTTTACCATATTTTACAACTACCTTGTAGCAAAAGTACAAATAGGAGAAATAGCCGAGAATGGCAGTTTAAAACAGCCACTAAAATATCATATCAACTGCCCTTTGATGTCCACCAAAAGAAGAGAGGGGAAAAAAAAAAGAAAATATCAAAACACCATTCTCTAAATGTGACCATATATTCAGGTACTTTCATAGTTCTACTTTTTTCCCTCCTACATTATCTACTTATTAAATATTTCAGTATTAGCCTTACTAACATTTCTACTCTAAGAATATTTTATATGTTTTATAGTCACAAATTAAATCCATAACTTCATTATTAGCCTTACTAGTATTTTCCCTCTGAAAATAATTGAACCTATTTTATAACCACAGATTAAATTCATTAATTGCTTAAGTGTAAATAACAACATCCACTCAATACCAGGTTAACATAAAAACAAAAATACCAATACACTATTTTCTAGTTGTAACCTTCTATTCAGGTAAGTTCATTCTTCTACTTCTTTCCCTCCTGCACTACCTACTTATTAATTAATTCAATATTAACCTTATGGAAATTTCCCCACTGAAAATACTTTAAACATGTTTTATAGTCCCGTATTACAGTCATTGGTTACTTATGTGGAATTATTTAACAACTTCATTTTAAAACCCATGTCTTACATATCCCTATACTCAGCCAGCTGAAGACGACACAGCACATAAGAGCCCTGCTGGACGAGACCAGTGGTTCATCTAGTCCAGCATTTTGTTTTACAAAGCAGCAGCCAACCGTTGCCATGGAGGGCCAACAAACAGGTTACAGAAGCCAAGAGATGCTGGCTCCTAGCACGGGTATTCAGAGAATTAGTACCTGTGAACATGAAGATTGCCTTTAGTCATGGCTAGCAGCCATTGCTGGACCTATCTTCCATGAATCTATCTAATAGCCTTCTAAAACCATAAACCACTTCATGGATCTGATGAATTACCTGATTGCAGGCTCATGGACATATAATATATTAGAATACATTGTTATTTGTATCAATAAAAGTACAAGGTTATATGTCCATGAGCCTGCAATCAGGTAATTCATCAGATCCATGAAGTGGTTTATGGTTTTAGATCTATTGAGCACCATTACATTATTCATAAATAAATTTAGAGTCTGTGCATATTTGTTGCCATCTGATCAAAGACCTGCCAGAATATATTTGTTAGTCTTTAATGTGCCATACTTTTTTCCTGAGCAACACAGCCACATTTCTGAAAGATGAAATGGGAGAAGGTAGGACCATGGAGACAAAACTGACATTGTAAACTACAGTTCTAAATGCCATTGTGACCTCATTTTTTGTGGATTCTTTCAACTCGCTCTCATTCTCATATCACACAGAGAGACAGAAATAAGGCTGAGAGATGCTTGAAATCATGATCCAATAACAACAGGTTAGTACAGGATTGTCTACAGTTAATGGTGTTTAAATTTGTCTATAATTGGTGATTTGTTAAAAATGGTACTCAAATCTTTTCTGTTACTACTCTTCTTTTTAAAAATCAAGTCTTTCTCATAGTGAAGGACTTTATGAAGCCTGGAACATTTGTAGTAAAAGGATCAGGGCCAGAATCATTGTAGTTCCTGCAAATTTTGGCAGAAACACTGAATTTCAAGAATTTCTTATCTTAGGAGAAAAATGAGCTATATCTAGACTTTTTGATTTTCAGAATTACATAGGGTAAGCAACTGAGCATAATTGATTTGAGGACAGATCTTGGTCCACAGAGAGGAAAGTTCCTAGTCATGTCAAAACCTCCTGATGGGAGATTTATTTCTCCACTTTAACTCAAGATCACAGTTTATAGTAACACACAATTTATATAGCAACTGAGAGGTGTGAAAACCTTTAGAAACATAACTCACAGCTGTAAAAACAATATTTATTAAATAATTATTAGACAATCCAGACTAAGGCTATTTCTGCATGATCAAAGCATTTTGAGTCCTGAGCGGTACTTCCATGAGTCCTATTTTGATAACTGTACTATGATATCCTGAGATGCTATTTACATATGAAAGTGAAATAGTAATAGTAAAGTGGCTGGCCCCAGTTATGATCACTAAAGTAGCAAAACTTGGCTGCCCACAGACAAAGTATCAGTCTCTCCATACTTGGCAAACTCCCTGAATATGCTCCAGGGACATGAAATGTTGTGAGCACTAAAAAGTAAGACTACCAATCTCCAGGTGGAGCTTGGAGATCTCCCAGAACTACAGTTGGTCTCCAGAGGGCAGAGATCACTTCATCCAGAGAAAATAGCTGCTTTGGAGGGTGGACTCTATGCCATAGAATCTATGGCATTATATCCTGTTAAGGTCGCTCCCCTCCCCAAATACTTCCCCCCAAACTCCAGGAATTTGCCAATGCAGAGATGGCAACCCTATTAAAGTCAATTTTTTTTGGGGGGGGGGAATTAATATGTTCAAGACCCTGAGAACATACAGAATCCTGGGTGGGGTATTCTTCAGAGAATGTGGGATTTCCAAATTGTTTTCCCCTCCTGCAGTTCCTCAGAGGCCCCATTTTATAATAATAATAACAACAAGATTATTCACAGAATGTTAGATCAGAGAGAAGGGGGCAGGCTTGGTGGTATAAAATACTCCCCTTTAAAATGTTTGATTTATATTGAAATTACCCAGCAAGGGAGCTCACAGCCTCCAGCGAATAATGAAGAAGTAAACATGCAGAGCCCTGTAAAAGTTGTATAAAGAGGCCATGTCAGTTTGGCAGTCTTTAAACTATAACCACATCTTTCAGAAAGAGGTGTTTGAATATTTTAAAACCTTTTCCCCAAATGATAGCCACAGTCTGACTATATAC